TCTGGGGTCGGGGGCGCGGAAGGCGCCGGCCGAGCCGGCCCGGGGCCTTCGGCAGCCGGCGGGACGGCGGGGCTCGTGCTCCGCGGCGGCCTCCGCTCGGCTCGCGGCCCCCAGAGGCGGTGGTGGCGGCAGCGGCTGCGGCAGCCACCGGCCGGGAGAGGGGCAGCGGCGGCGGCGGCGGCGAAGAAGGAGGAGGAGGAGGCGGAGGAAACCCGGAAAAGGGGCCGCACTCGCCAGGAGCGGCCGCCGCCCAGCCCCGGCCCGCCCCGGCCCACAGCGCCCCCTACAGTGCGGGGGGACTATGGCTGGCGCCCACCCCCTCAGCGCTCTCGCCACCTGCCAAGCAGTGTCGTCGTCTGCCTGCCCACTTGCAGGCCACCCCCCAGGAGCCTTTGCCCTCGACTGGCGCCGCTTTTAACATAGCCCCACAGTCCAGCCACCTCGTGTGCACCCACCACGACCTCCCATACTGGCCCTGAGCTGACTTTCTGTTAAACCCAAGAACCCTCACTTGAAACTCTGCCCCTTCCTCATTCCTTTTCTTCCCCCTCTGAGTCCCACCCTGTCATCCACAGATTCCCTTCCTCAACCCCAAGAAGTGAAGAAACTCCATAGAGAGCCAGTCTAGTTCTAGATCTACCCTGTCTTCCCAATTCCCCGTTCAGATTCCTCCCTGAGAGCCCACTGAGTCATCTTTTGGGCCACTTGGTTAAACCAGAGTTCACCAGGTAGTTTCCTCATAAAGTTGCTGTTTTTCCCCCTCTGTATTGAACCGGTAATTTGTGGGTCATACTTTGAGACTGTAAATATCCATTTTTTTTTTGTTTGGGAGGAGGGATAGCTGGGCAGTAAGGAGAGGCTAGGGGTTGAGTCTGACTAAGGACTAAGTGAGCATACAAGCCTTGAACAGTCTTCTCTCTATGATCTCCTGGGGACCCTGACTATCTCGTTTTCCTGTCCATATTCTGTATCAACAAGGGTCTCCTCTCCCAGCCCAGGTTGCTCTGACTCTAAGCTCCTGCCCCCCTCCCCACTGTGCTCTAGATGAGACCATGTTCTCTCTTTTTTCATATACCTAACTATCCAGGTTCAAGTCCCAGTTCCGTAGCTTACAAGTGATACAGATTTGAGCCGATGCCCCGACGTCTCTGTGCTTCAGATTTTGTAGCATCAACCCAGCATCTACTGTACAGAGCCGTGCATAGACTTAAACCGCGAACATTGGGACTGCTCAACATTAAAATACTACGTGTTCGCGCTGCTCTTAAACTCTACCACCTTTCCTTTAACTCTACCACCTTTCCTTTCCTGAGAGCAGTGAGGGTCCATCTTTCAGTTCCTTCTTCTCTCTGAGCTTGGCCAGGGAGTACTTCTGCCACCCCACAAGTGACTGGCTTTCCTTTTCAAGTCTCACCTTAAAGGCCACTTTCTCTGAAGTTGATACTTCTCTCAGTGACTCGTCCATGCCTTTCTTAAAACTGTAGCTTAACATGAGTTCTCACCTGGTTTGCCATCTGTCCCCTTCCTGTGAAAACAATGTGAAGGCATGGCTGGGACTGGGTGGTCACCATCGGGTCCCTCAGTGTCTGCCATGCTGGAGGCCTTCAGCCAACATGGCACTATTACCCCACAGATACCATGCTGGTTACAAAGGGGACCCTGAAGGTCATATTATGCATGGACTAACTGACCCCACCCCCCGTGTGAAACACGGAGAAAGGACACACCACTCATAATAGTACTGTCAAAAAAGTTTAACCTGTATCCAACCAGACACAGCCAAACTGAGGGGCAGTTCAGCATAGCCACACTGCTAAAAAAAAAATAAGTGGAACAGACAGCAAGAAGAAAACTTGAGGTGCTGCTCTAGATTAAAGGAGACTGAGAGCTGCCGTAGAGGCTGCACACTGTAATCCTACCTGAGGATTAGACTGTGGGTTCAAAGCCAGCCTGAGCTACGTAGTAAGATCTTGTTTTGTTTGCTTACTCTTTTGGGGGAAATGCAGTCAGGTGTGGTGGTGCATTTCGGTAACCCTGGGGCTTGGGAGGTTAAGACAGTTTGACACCGGTCTGTCTGGACTATGGAGTGAGACCTGTCCAAAATCAAAAATAAAACAAACCATACACATTTTACTGCTCAGAAGCCTGGAAAGACAGACACACTATTTCCACTGCCCTGTATCATTCAAAATCAGCAAAGAATATCCAAAATAAATAAATGGATCAAGCCAGGTGGGATAGTGCAAGACTGTTATCCTAGCAGCTGGGAGGC